GGCAAACTGTTAAGATATTGGATGGCTTTTGGGTTGCACGACACATGTTAATAGTGAACAAGAAGATGTCTTTATCTCTTGTTCAGTATTTCTCCAAAGAAGATGCAGAAAACCACGTTTTCTGACTTGCATAAGTCTACCCAAAGTCTTCTACTAGCTGGTTGTGAAGAATGTTACTGGAGCACTCATAAGAATGTGTATAGCATGGAGGGAAAAAAAAATGCTGGGTGAAAGGGAAGTTTGAAAGACTTCTGAAAAGCATTTGTATGATGTCACCATATTTTGTCTCCACTGATAACATGTCATGCTTTATGATTTCTGAATTCTCATAAGTAAGGTGAGACTCACATATACAAACTTCATGTTTTGTTCAGGGCTTGTTGCTGTGGGAGAGAAGGCGCAAAAGAGATCTGGACATTATGTTGTGATGAAGGATCTTTCAGGTGAGATTTTGATCATCTTTGGAAAAGCTCAAAAGGTTCATTGAAAATGAATAGCAGCACTGAAATTTCAAATGCATTTGGCTTTAAGGCAAGCATCCAGTTTCTGCGTTGATGGAGATCTGTAACAAAAGAAGATGGTCACCACCTGAGTTTGTGTTGGTGGATGATAGTGGGCCTGATCATCGCAAACACTTCATCTTTAAGGTGAGTCTGAATTTGTTTGTTTACTGTTAGCTTGTCTATTAAAGTGTGATATTAAATTCATCTTTATATTTCTGTATTCCAGAGGTGGCTGGGGTATGCTGGGCAGTGTCTCAGTGCTAGAGTATCAGAGCCCTGTTTCTGTGAAAGCCATATCAGGTCTCTCCAGCGCATTAATCTGCAAATCCATCAAGGAACTGTGATACCATTCCACGGCTTACTAAAATGATTAACTTGTGTGGAATCATATTCTTGCTTCTTGTTTGCAGGTGTGGTGCAAATACAATTGTAAAGATAGTGAAAAGACTCAGTCGTTTTTTACTTTTAGGTATCTTAGAATGTGATCTGTTTTGTTTTTTTTTCTGTTGTGCTATCTTGTGTTAACAATTTCCATCTGGAGGTGATTCTTGCAGGCTAGACGTGAGGCACTTCCTAACATGTCCTTTTTCCATCCGTCTCAAACAGGTGAGAGTCAATGGAAATGAATACAGGCCTACTTTTGCCAGCCTTAATAAGAAGCATGCTAAAGCCACAGCAGCAACTGCGGCTCTCCAAGCGATGGGACTTGTACCAAAGGAAAGCATGGTCAATACCACCATGTTTAGGAGTGCCTCACACCGCTAGATATTGTTTTTTATATTGACATTATTTCAGATAATTTTACTCTGCACAAAAATGGTATTTGCCCTTTCATGTTGTAAATACATTGGCAATTCCCACGTTGTAAAAACTGTACAGACACCTTCAGGTTTTTCTTTTGTACCATCAAAATGTATTTAAATCATACTTAGTTTTTGGTATGTTTATATTGTTTACATTAGTGATGTAATTATTTCTTAAATGACTAAATCAGACGACAGACTCTGGAGGCATTAGTAATCTAAACCCTTGTTTTAAAACTCATGCGATCTCTCCTCAATATGGAATGTTAACACTTTCATACTGTTTTGTACTATGCTGCAGTTTTCCCTGGTCTCGGTAAAGCTACTCTTGCACTTTTGCCTGGTGAAAGCTGGTAAAAGACCACGCAGCTTACCTTAGTCTAGTCGAGGCTGGCGTGTACTGCTGGGCAGATACCGGGCCAGTACTGTGACCCCTGGGAGAGAGGGAGCCGTGGTAGCAGCCCTGTTGTACAGTGCTAACGCCGCCGCTTCTCTTGGAGTTTTGTTTGGGGTTTCACTCGGTGCTGCCCCGCAGCTGGCCATGCAGCTCATCCTCTAGGACGTACGCGATGAGGCAAAAGTCTTGCTTTAAAAGGGACGGCAGAAAGTCCAGCAATGGAACCAGCGAGACTTTTGAGATGTAAAAGTGACTCTCCCTGCATGTTCTGAGAAGGGAGATGATGGAGTTGTCTATTCCAAACAAATTAACACACTGCCTGATGTTGATTGTATGGATTTGTGGTTAATGTGAATTTTAAAGTCTAACAAATCTACAACTGGACTGGGGGGAGGGAGGGAATAGAATGATGCTTAAATTGTTGTACCCAACTTGGTCAATAAAGCAGCACAAGTTCATAATCTTAATCGCTGGTCAGTAAGCAGTAATTAAAATCTATGCCAAAAGAGCTTTGTGACGAAACGCACAGTGCAAACGTATCGCTTAACAAGAGTAGCAGCAGCCATTAGAGCTGCGGAATCTGTTCTAGGCAACTTCACTTGCTTTGGACTATTACCAAATGAACTCCTTGAGCTTGCATTTTCTGTAACGGTACTCTGCCCTCAAGGAGACAATCTGATCCAGAGTTGTGGCAGTTTGATAAGGGAAAGGATATAGGAAGCTTTTCCTTTTATTTTTTTTTTTCCTCTTAATTTAAGAAGTATTAGTTCTTTAGCTATGTGCACTTTGAAGTGGAAAGGGCATTGTACACCTTTAGCCAGATTTGTCTGTGTTTTGAGCAGACTGCCAGGATTACAGCAGTGCTTTGTTACTGTGGTAGTTCAGGTGCTTATTTCTGAAAAGTCTTTGAGGATTTTTTTGTATTACATCAAGTGACCAGAGCTTCATCGGGAACAGGAACAAATTACACTTTGTATGCAGTAGGACTGTGCTCAGGCCTAAAGTGAACGACCTTTGCAATGGCAGTAGGATCTTGGAGGTGATGAATTAATAGTAGCTCTTCCTCCGCAGAGTAAATTATTTGTGTGTGCTCTCAGCTGTTACTGAACAAGGTATCTTCCTTTGCCCTCAGTGGACAAGTACCAGCATCTCGTTTTGCATACAGCAGAGAAGCAGTACTGTGTTGTCCACCACACACCCACAAAATAAACCCCTTTATTAGTCTGTCAAAGCACTCTAGAAATGACAATTTTTTTTTTTCTTTTTGTGGACGTAGTTATCTCTAATTAAAGTTTTCTCCCTTTGGCTTCTCACCTTCAGTCTCTGTGTAAAATTGTTTGAAGATCTCCTTGCCTCATTTTCTGAACAAGTTGTAAGGTTGAGAAACAAAGCTAAGCAGATGGTACAGCGATGGAAAGACGGACTGTGGGAGAACTGGGGATTGTATCCATTTTAGGCAAGTCCAGCTTTCTGATGTCTGACTCAAAGCTGTTAACTCAGGATGTGGGAGGCAGCTCCTATTCAGGCTTCTGTTCAAATATCTGCTGATACAGTTAAAACATCAGCAGTGTTGCTCGTGCTGTTCCGTCCGTGGTGTCCATATAAGCACAGGTTTTGGATCTGTTCGTTATCTGGAACATAATCTGTTGTACTTTGTTAATTTTGTTCTTTCGGGGTTTATATTCTCCGTGTATATTGGAAAGATATGTTTTGAGGAACAGATGAATTCAGTCCCATAGAAGACTCCATTTCAAAAGTAACTGTTCAGGCAAATTCTGGATTTCACGCCTTAAAAGACGTGGTACTGTATGTAGATCTAACCTTTGATTTTCAATACTTACAATATTAATATCTGTAATACTTCAGTTATGACACTTCTTGACTTCGGGGTTTCTGTTTTAGTTTCATTCCTGTTGTTTAGAATGATAAATGAATTTAGTGCGGAGATGTCCTTCTGTTCAGTTTGTAAATTTGGTTGGAGTGTCCTTTGCATGCAGGAATAGACAAGTAGTCCTATTAAAAAGAGTAACTAGGAAACACTCTCTCGGGACCTGTTTATTTATGGGGCACTTCAGCTGTCTCTAAAGTGAATGGACTCCTGGAACTTGAAGTCATCTCTGTGCCTGCTGGGTTTTTGTTGTTGCAGGATTGCTTTCCTAGAAGTGCTTCCACTGATAGTGCTTCTGATTTCCCTGTGGTGCCTGAGCACGTAGAGCCAGCAGCCACCAGAACCAGTTCCAGACAGTCAACTAAGTGGTAGTTTATATAGAGGGCTGGAGAAACAGCAAAGTCAAGTATAATAACTGCCAGGCTTGCCAGAATTGGTGCTGGTTTCTCTCCAATTGTCTGACACCCTAGATCTAAAGATCTAAAGCTGCCCTTTTGTACTGTAAGGTAGGGACTTGAGGTCTGTCTAGGTTTTCCTGATGCCCTGGTCTTCTCTGTACTGTGACCCTGCCAGTGCCATGGTAGTTACTGTGCAGTAACACTGTAAACCTACACAGTACTTGTGTAACTGCCTCAGTCTGCAGTGATTTGCTTACAGAGCTGGTTGTTAGGTCCATCAAGCAGACTATCACTGCTTCAGAATGATGTCAGGAGAACAGGACACCATTGTAGTGAAAATAAAGGTTGCGTGACTACAAGTATTATTCTTTTCTGTGCAAAATACCAGAATTACAAATCTTGCTGAGTGCATAAGCATGATGGTATTCTACTTACTGCTCTTCAGATCTACTATTTTTTGCTGCAGGAAGAGGCTCACCTGATAGCTGTGTGATAAATGACATTATACACATCTCCAAAGCAGCAGTAGTGTAACAGATTACATTAAACCTGAACATAGGCTCTTGCTATGAACAGAGCAGCATCACCTTGCTGCCTTTCATTTCCTCTGCTTCCATCAGGTGTCATAACCCTATTGTGTTGTTCTAACTTGTTCTGGTGCACTCTCCATTGTATAAACTGCCTGTTTAAAATAAGATTTTTAAGTAAATGAAGATGGCAATGTTGGAGGATTATGGCAGCAGTTCTGGGGCTCCCAGCCTTTTAATCTGATTCAGATGCAATTGGAACTGTTTGTACCCATCTGATTGCTGGTTTTTGCAGTTGAAGTTACACCTCAACCAAGAGGTGTAAAGTGCTGAGATTTAGGCCAAGCTTCTGGCTCAGTGCTGTAAGCAGGGCTCAGAGGTGATAGGAGAAGAATTCCACCCCTCAGAAGTGGCTACACATTACTGCACTGAGCAGTAGCAGCAGTTTTGTGTTTCAGAATAGAATATACACATAGGTGAAAAATACAGGTCTTCCACCCTGAATTCAGATCAGAAGCAGACCATTTTATAAAATTTTATTTTTAAAAATGCTTTCTAAAATACAAAAGGAGATGTCCAGGGCCTTTTCCTCAACTTCCTCTGAAAACCCCTCACCGTGTTCTATTGCTGTGATGTGCAAGAGTTGGCTGTGACGTTCAACGAGGTTACTTAGCTCCTGTAACAGCATGGGTGCTGCCCTGCAGGCCTGAAGGAAGCGCAGCAACTTCACCCTGGAGAGCTTTGTGCTCCACCTCCTCCAAACAGCACGTACCTAAGACTTCCAGGCATATGCAGAGTCCTTCATTTCCAGAAACCGGAGGGAAGATTTTCCCAGTGTTGGCACCTGACTCAGTTGATCCAAAGTTTTAGAATGCAGCCCACACTTCAGCAGGTCTTTACTTACGGTTTCCTGAAGAAGAGAAACACGTAATACGCATTTCTGTCTGAAATAGCTGTAGTTTTCGATGTTCATTTATGTATCTTTGGGGAGCTCCCAAAAAGCTAGTTTTCTGATGAGCCCATTTCTGAGCCACAGTGACTGCCATGTGGTGATCACAGTGGGGTATAAACCCATGCATTAAGTAGCTTATCTCTCAGCACCCAACGGTTTGTAATATAGTGTTCCTAAGAGGAAAGGCTGTCTTCTCTAGTTTACTTACCTTCTTTAAGGCAGGGCTCGCATTATGGAGATTAGCGTTAAACACAGCCGTTGGCTCATGCGTATACAGCACTGCTGAAAATGCTCCCTGCTGTGCAGACTGCAGCAGCATGGTCAGCAAGTGGAGAGAATGAGGCAGGACAGGGCCTACGATCTCCAAACTGAAGATATCTTCATATGCCAGGCGGACCCTGGCTTTTGCGTTCATACTACGAGCCTGAAACCAACAGCACGCAGGATTACATTCTGAAACCAAATCAAGATGGTTGCTCATACACCTTCATACTGCAGTGCCATAAGCCCGTGAAAAGCTCAAAATATTTTAAATATCATCAACTTCAGGAGATACGAGTATTATGTTTTTAGCATCTCTAACAGCTCCTAGAACTGTGATACGCAGGAGTATTTTACAGTATTAGGGAAATCATCTGCAGAAGAACTTTGCATGCCACATGTGCAGCTTCTCCAGTGGCAGAGGACTGCGCTATCTGCACAGGGAGCATAACAGTGCCCACCACCTCCCACAGTTACAGGTCAGAGGCTCTCACTGCCTGTTGAAATATCATCTCAGTAGACCCTGTATGAGCTCAGTAGCATTGAAAGGTGAATCTTCTAAGAACGTTTTTACAATCTGGGAACTACTTAACAGCTATTAGGATAGGTAGAAATAGTGGGATTTCAGTTCAGCACCACAGGTTACGTGGGTAAAGATGACTTTGGAGGAAGTCCACATTACAGTCAATGCCAATTCAGGCTCTAGCATCAAAAATCACTCTGCTGTACCAGAAGGTAGAGCTTTCTGCTTATTACAGGAAAAGAGATTGCTGCATTACTTACTTTGAGCGTTTGCATTGTTCCACCTCGGAAAGCAACAGGAGACAGTAGAGTGGGAGGAAGCCCTGCCTGTTGACCTGCAACAGCCACCAGGCTCTTACAGTTTATCAGGAAGTTCAATAAAGTGAACGTGTTTGTTCCTTTCACCACTGCGAGGGATTCGGGTCTGTGATCCACCTGCACTTCATGCTTCTCTTTACGACTGAATTGACCAGAGTCGAGGGAAAAACTTAAGCAGCACAGCAACTCCAGAACAAAGCCCACTGCCCCTCTACCTTTGACCAATCATTAAAACAAATAGTTTCTCCAAAAAAAAAACAAGCCTTGAGCTCATTCAGATTCCTTACATCAATTACTTGGCAGCATCTTACACCTGACTGATCATTAAAGCTGTGAGAGAAGGAATGTTTTCAGGTCCAGTGTCTTACAGCTGGCAGGTAGCAGTTATTAAAACAAAGCTTGCAACTCCTACTTTTACTATGAATCTTGCATCAAAACATAAAAACATTAGCAGCTCAGTTTAGAGCAGGAGTCTGCTTTTGTAGGGATTCCCCTGATTCCCCCACTTACGATGCACTGGTGCAGGGTAAGTCTCAGAAGTTGGAAGGACATTCCTCTTGGATTCACCAAAAGGCAACAGCTGCAGGGCTTTCCACTGCAGTAAGTGGCGAGACAAAAAGAAAGGATACAGTTTAATAGAAACAGCATCTGGTTTTTTAACCTTGTCTTGGACTCCCATCTCCTCAAGCCAAGAGAAACCATCATCATCATCATCACTTGAAGCAGCTTCCCTAAGAAACAGGATCACTTTTAGGAGGATAAAACTTTCTCAGAACTTTTCAAATAAAATGTGCAGGAGTCCAGAAATGCCTCAGAACTGCAGCATTTTAGATTTATGACATACTCGCCATTCTCAGGGCTTCTACCCACTTCAGGGTCGTGAGCAACTTCTGTTTCCAAATTCCCTTCAGAGTTTTTCTGTTTTCTGCTTCTACTTTCTTCTACCAAAGGTAGAGAAAACTCTATGCCTTGAAGAGAAAAGGAAAGAAAGCAATGAGTGGTTTTGGAATGCACAGCGAATGCTATGTATTGGTTATTAAAATGTAAGTGAGATTGGTTTCACCTCACCTTCATTTCTCATGGCTTCCCTTAAACCTCTGGTGGTGGGAGAAATCACTGCTGTGATAACATCACTTCCCGCCAGACCAGCTGCACGGAACAGGACAGTAAACTGGTAAGTGCACACATAGAAGTAGGGGCACAGCTTGGCTTTGAGCAGATTGTACAGAGAAGTAAAGCTGACAGACCTGCAAACGAGGGGAAAAAAAAAAACAAAAAACCAATTTTGTAATTGAAATCCTTTGCTGCTGATGGATCAAGCTGGATTTGGCTGGGTGTTACTGATGTGTGCTCCAGCCAGGCTTGAGACCACAATAACTGATTAGTCTGATTTTCACATGCACTCAGCATCCAGGAAGTTGCTCTGAACTCCTGTGAAGCACAGCCTATTTGCAAGTACTACGCTTTTCTTGCATACTTGCCACCCAATGTGCAGTTTTACATGGAGCACCAAAGGCAACCTACTAACAGGATTCGCAGAAATCTGAATCAACTGCGGTCAGAGGAGGACATTAAACACACCAAGGTAGCTTTGGTCTTAGAGGCAGTCCCTAACCTGATCCTCAAACTAAGTGCAGACCAGCTAAAATAATTAAACAACCAATAAATCAAACATATTCTCATAAAAACAGAAGGAACTTACGCTGATTTAAATCCTAGGATCTTGATCTTACTACCTACACTTAGGCTCCACTTACCAGTCGCTCATCAGTGCTTGTTGCAAGGCCTCATCCTGTGCCCATGGACAGGCTTTTCCTGCTATCTTTCTGTCTGCTCCAATACGAGGGAACAGCTGCAGCCACGACAGTGATGGGTGAAGCCAGTAAACAAGGCTCTGCTGAAAGGCACAACGCAGTTCTGTGGACAGTTTTGGTTCCTAGATTATAAGAAGTATTTTAGGAGAACAGAAATACTTTATTTAAGGCAGCATCACAACTGATGGAATTAAAAAAAAAAAATGGATTAGGTGCTAAAAAAATGGTATCACAGGTTTGTGATTAAGCCAGACTGAAGATGGGCAGTGACTGGAAACTGCTCGCAGTTGAAATTAACAACCCACTCAGTCACCAGTTTGCCACAGATTACATTTTTGAGTATGCAGTGGATGGAATTAAATAGCTGTCTACATGAGCCTTATTCTCTACACAAGTAAGACCAGAACAAAACAAGCAAATCTTCACTGCCAGTACATTTAGGGAGAGGTGCAAAGGTTCCCCCTTGTAAAGCAGCAGCTTCCAGCTCCCATCTGAAGTTTCATTACCTGTACACTCTGTGGCAAGTTTATTTCTGCTGCTCTGCAATGCTGAACAAACCCCTGAGCTTCCTCCTGTGCTTTTAAATGCTCTGCCCAAGTGAAAGGTTGAGAAGACGTAAACAGAAGTCGTGTTTTGATACTCCAGTCTGCAGGAAACTCGTGTCTCGGTGAGGGGGGGACATCAGGGGTAGGAACAGATGAATGAAGATCCTTTACAAATGGAAACAGCATCAGTTAATCCATAGTCAATTAATAAAACCAAACAACCAATGATGCAGCTACCTATGCACATTTTCACATGGTCAGGCTTCCTCCCATCCTGGCTCAATACACCCTCCTGGCAGGCAGAGCAGATCCTAAACAGGACAGTGGCTGTTACAAGGCACTAGTGGAGCTCCACAGCCTTCACAAGGAGAACGCGAACCTGCTGTTTCCTGTAAGTTTCTGCCCAACTCACTTTAACAGTACACTACAAGTCTCTCCCTTGTAAGGAACTACTTGCACTAAATCAGGAGCACATACTTAGGCTTCCCAGAGGATAACAAAAAATGTTGGAGTTCCAGGATGGTTTGGTCTGAGAAGTTTTTCTGTTCTAAGTTACTCTGAGCTTAAGTTTCTGAACCTATAAAAGCCTCTGACACCATCAGCCTGAAGCTCTGCCAAGGACTGTTATTCTCTTTCCTATTTAGGCAGTTTAGGGAATTTTCTCAAATGCTGACATTTTAGTACATCTAAAGATGTACCACCAAATTCTAAGTATGTAGAATCATAGAATCTTTTGACTTGAGTTGATCTTTAAGGGTCCTTTAAAGGCCATCTGGTCCAACTCCTTTGTCATGAGCAGGGACACCCACAGCTCCATCAGGTGCTCACAGCCCCGTCCAGCCTGACCTTGAGTGTCTCTAGGGATGGGGCATCCACCACCTCTCTTGAAAACCCGTGCCAGTGCCTCACCACCCTTACTATAAAAGACTTCTTCCTTATATCCAGTCCAAATGTCCCCTCTTTAAGTTTGAAACCGTCTCCCTGTGCCCTATCCCATCGGACCTCACTGAAGTGCCAGTCCCCTTCTTTAAGCAGTTAACCAGCTCGGGCTTTTCCCGAGGTCAATGCAGCAAGAGGCGTTTCAGAATCCTTACGCGAGGCCCCGTACCTCGGGCAGCGCCGGGACGTCGGTTCCCTGTGAGAGCTCCACGTTCCGGGCCGGCTTATCTTCTCCTGCAGACTCTAAAAACTGAAGGAAAAAACCGTGAGATTGACAACGTTAAAACAGGCTTTTTGCAGAGGAATCTCACAAGCCCCTTCCCCTGAAAGCGGATCTCTACCTGCCAGAAGGGCACAGTGGAGGCGGGCCCCCGCCCGGGCTGCGCCGGCTCCTGCTGCCGCCAGACCGGCTGCCGCGGCGCGTTGTCCAGGCTGGAGAAGGGGTTACGGCGGACGGACGCCGAGGGGGCCCTCGGGGCCGCGCCGCAGGGCTGGGGGGCAGCGGGCTCGCTTCTCCGCGGCCGCTTGCGCTTCAGCCGCAGCGTGGCCGGCGGCTTCTTGAAGCCCGGCGAGTAGCCGGGCACGGCGGCCGCCATGGCTGGGAGCGGACGGGCAGGGCGGGAGCCGCCGTCCCCGCTTGGCGCCAACGGGACCGGGCTCCGCCCCTGGGCGGCGCTGACTTGTGGTGGCGGCCGCCATTTCCTCCGGCCCCTGGGGGGCGCGCGGCACCAGGGCGAGCCGGGCTGGAGCATCCTCAGAACCGGGAAAGCCAGGCTAGCTCAGCTTGGGCCGAGCTCAGTTCTGCCGGCGCTGCTCTCATCCCAATATGCTGCAAAGCCTCAGGCTGCGTTGTGCAGTCGGCTAGGCACCCAGCTAGCACTGGGGTGTGTACCTTTCTTGGCTTATTTTACAGCTCCAGGAGCTGCACCATCTTGCTGTCAGCTCAAAACTGCTTACATCTGTCAATGGACGTTTGAAAGAAAGAGTTGCTTAGGGGTCCTTATGAACCCTTTTAATAGAATCATAGAATCACAAGGTTGGAAAGGACCTACAAGATCATCTGGTCCAACCATCCTCCCATTACCCTCGCTACCACAAACCACTAAACCACTTTGTTCAAGTACATCTACATCTACAGCTAGCATTATTAAAGAACATTAGAAAAAGCTGAGATATCTCAGCCAACTGCAAGCAGCACAGGGCAGCTTAATGCCTTAAATGAACGGACATTTATCTCAGGATCTGATCCAGCTGGAAGCCTAAGCACAGGCAACTCCAGCTATGGCTAGCACATCTGAAACAAGTGTGATCTTAAATAAAAGCAAGGAGGAAGCAACATGCTTTGAGAAAAAACAACAGCCTCTACCCCAAAAAAAATTAAAAAAAATCACAGCAGTTCCCTCTCTGCTGATCTGTTCTAGGAATAGGACCAAGGTTAAAAAGGAGAAGTGAAAGAGCACAGAATACAAGGATCTCATAGGAAAGAAAAAAAGAAATATAACGTTACAGTAACAAGATACATAAAGTATCTGAAACTTCAGAATTGCAGGACTGTCTTAGCTGCTGGACTGCTGATAGTAAGTAAGGTTTACTGTTTCGGGTTGCTAAAATGAAGAAAACCAGCAATGAGGGAACTCCTGCTCTCAGTACCATCTCTCCCCTCTAGGATCCCTGCCAATCCTGATGGATTTCCCATTCTGCCTTTCAGCTACATAACAGCAATTTTAAAGATAATTTAAGACCCTCAGCACACTGCAGACACTGCTCAGTCTTAATGCAGCCAAATAAAAGCAATTCGGTGTGGATGGGACTATTGGTAGGGGACAGAGAAGGGAAAACTTAAAAAAACAAAAACAAAACCTACAAACCCAAACAAAAAACACTACTAGCATTGCTTTTTTCCCCTTTAATTTCTTATGGGTGAAAAACAGCAGCAAGGGAGATCACCCATAGATGTTATTGACATTTATAATGAGGGCAGGGCAGCCAAGATTTGTGCGTCAAGACCGTCCATTTAGAAATTACTGATGAGAATATTTTACTCAACTGGATCAAAAAACCTCACAAGTCCCAGGAGCTTCACAGACCATTTGTGCTGAGGTACAGAAGATCTTTAAATTCTGGTTACAGAACTACTTGAAAGTGTACACTAGTTTACTTCTGAAATACATTACATTTCTTTATCTTCCATGGGTTTAGAAGTCAGGAATTCATGTGTTAGAACTGAATGACTTGTCTTTTTCTTGTTTGATTCTTCTGAACTATTTCCATAGAGACTTTGGCTTCATACAGTGGAATTGGTTCATCCAGCTGAGGCCTAAAATGGAACAGAACGTCAGACTGGTTTGCTGAGCATGCTCAGATCAATAGCAACATTCTAAGACTATTGCTATAGACTTTACTTTCACTATGTAAACTTTACTCCTTAAACACAACGAATGTTTTACTGCTTTGCTTGGATAGGCAAAAGAATGAAAGGGCCCTAAAGCAAACAGGAATCAGAAGATAAATATATATCTTTCTAATGATGAGGAAAAGGTGGTGGTGGGAAAACTTCTGCTCTACAGCAATACTGTTAGTCCACGTTAATAGGAAGGATCTTTCATTCTCACCTCATTATGGCTCTATCTAATAAGGCTGTCACTCTTCTTACAAAGGAATATCAGACAGAGCTATTGAATTTTACAGTCAACCCCATTTCTCAGTCGGACACACTGCTGAGCAGTCAGATATATGCTCTTCCTCCACCAAGAAAAGAATGCGCTGCCTCTGCTAAATTTTGCCATCAGCAAAATCAGAGATTTTACCAAGTTTCCCCAGGCTTAGCCTGCTACATTATAAACAGATCACAAACAGTTCCACATAAGCTATTTGAGGCATCCTTTCCTCAACATCCCAACACAGATCTGCTATGCTGGCAAGAGATTTCTACTCAGTAAAAATAAAAGCAATCATCTTTCTTACCTGAAAATACCACTTGATAATTTCTCCATTATATCTTCTAAGATGCGTATCTACGAGCTCTGTCAAGGTAACAGCATATCTACAGATAATCCTTTCAACAGTTGGGTTTGCTGCTAAGAGCCCACTGTTCACATGAAACCAGCAGGATCGAGACAAAACAAAAATGAACTGTAACTCCGTTAGACCTGATCTACGCAAGTGTTGATATATCAGAATAACCTTTCCTGGCTTGTAGAAATGAAAAAAAGAATTATTATAAAAAAAGATAAAGCAAAGAGTTACAGTATGCAAATGCAGTCTACAGGAAGCAAAGTAAAGCACAGCACTAAGTAATGAGAATGGCAACTGCACACTTGTTGCATACTGAAGACAACTGACTTTGGTACTGATTAAACTACCCCTACCGTTCGTGCAGGAATTTGAGGCAAAAAAAACTGCAACAGAACAAAGTTAGGAGTGCAGCAGAGCTTATAAATCCTTGGAGCAACATTGTACACCTTTAAAGGAATCTCTGTGCTAATGCATAACATTCGGAGCGATGCAACAGATAATTTTGTATTTAGTGTCCACATGAAACTCTGAAAAAATAATCTTCCTTTTTTCATCTTAAGAGCAACCTGGTTAACATTTGAAGCTCAAGGCATTTGAAAAAGATCACCTTGTGATTTCTTCAGGTAAGGCGTCAGTGCCATAGGGTCAAGAATCTCACAAGATACAGAGCTACCAAAAAGCAGACTTTTTCTTTGCAGCTTTTAAAGAAGTGGTGATGAAAGGTGCTGTGGTTATTAGGAGAGACAACAGAAGAAGATGTGTTTTAGTCAGCTTACTTTAAGTTCAACAAAAGTACCAAAAGATAACACTATGTTTGATAACCTATATCCCATAAATAGATCCCTCAGTGTGCCTGCCCTTGCCTAATCTACTTTGCAGTTCAGTGGAGGAGGGGAGGACTTCTTCGCAGTATAGTCAGTCCTTTGACAAGCCTAATGACTTAATCCTCACCTGCCTCTGCTGCTCTGCTAAGCTGCAAAAGTGATTCAGCAGATCTCAATCTGCAGTGCACAACAGGGAGGGTCCTTAAAGCCACAACCATTCCAGGAAGCAACCCACTGAGCACTGCCCTGTCAGCAAAAAGCTCCAGGTCCACCTTCTTAAGGCCACACGTTGCTAATGCAAATGAAGGCAGCACACCTCTGTCCACACCCACATCTTCCCTCAATTAAATGTTACGCACACAACACTGCAGATAACAGAGAGATTACGAAGCTGAAATATTTGAACATGTACAGTTAATCTGATTGCATTAACATTTACAGGTGATACGTCTCAACACAACGAAAAATATACACATGTCCAAAATACTTTATGTACAATGTAAAAACTTGTAGGGCTTCACTTAATTGCCTCAAACAAAACCACTGTTTTTTCCAGAATGCATTTTTGCCTTTCACCATTACTTTTTACTTCTTATTTAGAAAGTATGCAGAGCTTTAAATACAAAGGTTACACTGAAGTTACACTGTATGCTGCTCTGTGCTGACATTAAGCCAGAGGTCACAGGAGGGAACAGAAGATGATTTATTAGTTAATGTGTTACATTTCCATCCATTCCTTAGCAGTCACTACTCAAAACTATCATCAAAAGGATATAGAGATACTTCCCCTGCTCTATATTGGACAAGTTCCATATCTCCTCATTTAGAAAGGAGACTGTGGCTCCTTTAAGAAACAAGGAATGACTGTCTGGAGGATCCAGCTTAAACAGAATGAAGAAATGTGTTATTTAGTTACATTTTCCTGTACAAAAATAAAGATTAAATGGTTAATTTACATTTATGGTTATAAAACAAACAGACAATAGTTAATAGCCAAGCTATTAACTTACTACATTAGGGAAGGGAGCTCCAAAATTGTCACGAAGCAAAACATTAATAAAAAAAAAAAGATAATGAAGCATTACTAAACTGGAATGCTTTTCATTTTCTGGCCATGAAAATTGACATCATTTAATAGAGGGTAGCCATTCAGCCACGTACTGCAGTATAAACAAACCTGGTGATCAATACAGTCTCTTTACCTGCAGATTTCTCTCTGTTGTTATCCAGTTTCCCCCAACACCAAGAAGAGTGATAATATCATGCTTATGAGGCAATAACTGGGATTTTGAAGCTGATTCATCTTCAGCACTATACAATTTTACTGGAAAAATAGAAGGACATCCAAGCTCAGAAGAAAACAATCGTCATCAAAAATGAAATGCTTATCTTTTCCCATATGAAAAACATGCATCTTGGGGTTCTTTCAGTCTCATGACTTACAAAAGAGTTGCAATATGTTCACCTGAATGCACACACTGCGTGACGGCCGCCTGCAACAGAACTAGAATTCAGTTCCGCTGTTGGCCTCATGGGGCTGTCAGAGACAGCAGAAGATTCAGGAAATTCAATACAATCTGCTTTCAAGATATGTCAGTGGGACTAAGTAGTTCTTTAATTACTGCAACCAGACTTCTCAGCTATTCCGACTGTTGTAGAAAGATGATCTCTAAGGTAGCGTAAACAGTGATGTCACAGATGTACTTCTAAACACCACTTCTTTTCAGCTCTAAGTAGAGAAGAAGCATTTCAGACCA